GACATATGAAACATGCTCAAAGTCACTGATCACCAGAGAGATGCAAATTCAAATGACAATGAGGTATCATCTCACACCTGTCAGAATGGCTACCATCAACAAATCAACAAATGACAAGTGCTGGCGAGGATGTGGAGAAAGGGAACCCTAGTACACTGCTGGTGGGAATGCAGACTGGTGCAGCCATAATAGTATGGAGTTTCCTCAAAAAATTAAATATGGAATTGCCATTTGACCCAGTGATCCCACTTCTAGAATTATATCCTATTATATCCTAAACAGCAATCAGAAAGAATGGATGCACCCCTATGTTCATAGCAGCACAATTTACAATAGCTAAGATCTGGAAACTGCCCCAGTGCCCATCAGTAGATGAGTGGATAAAAAAGCTATGGTACATTTATACCATGAATATTATGCAGCAGTAAAAAAGAAGAATCTCTTACCCTTTAAGATAGCATTGAGGGACCTGGAGAGTATTATACTAAGTGAAATAAGTCACTTAGAGAAAGACAAGTATTACATGACCTCACACATATGTTGAATCTAAGTAACAAAATAAACTGATGAATGGAGTGGATCCAGAGACATGGAAGCATGGAACAGAGTGAGGACTCTGAGAGGGAAGGCGGGGGAGGATGGGAATAATCAACCAAGAACCTTGTATGCATATATGCATGGCCCATGGCCACAGGCAATGGAGCCGTGAGGGTCTGGGCAGGAGGGGGGAAGGGGAGATTTGGAGGTAGTCAATGAGGGGAAAAGGGGGACATATGCAATACTTTCAACAATAAAGAATTTTTTTTTTAAAGAGCTACTATCTGGCAAAAATCCCAATAAAAAAAAGAAAGATACTTTTTCTTTTAAAGAACTGAAAAAATGTTTTCATGTATTAGAGCAATTAAAAGAGGTCTGAGCCTATTACTAAGAAATTACTGAATTCTTCTGGATAAATTAGAGGCAAAATAATACATGCTTGAATTGTAACTATTATAATTATTTCTACAGTAATTCAGACAGTTATGTTCTTAAAAATATGTAGGGCTTATTTTATTTTGAATTTTAGAGGACATTTATTAAAGCTGGGGACAGTGAGATAAGGAAGGGCCTAGGAAAACAGGAGAGGGATTAGATGGGGAAATGAGCCTGAGCTTGGCAGCTTTGCCTCATTAAGAAGTCAGAGAGTCGGACCTGGGTGGCTCAATGGTTGAGCATTGACCTATGAACCAGGAGGTCATGGTTGGATTCCCGGTCAGGGCACATGCCCGGGTTGCAGGTTCTATCCCCTGTGGGATGCAGCCGATCAATGATTCTCTCTCATCATTGATGTTTCTCTCTCTCTCCCTCCCCTTTCACCTCTGAAATCAATATATATATAAAGAAGCCAGAGAAAAGGGGGCCTTGGGGACAGGTTCAGGGGGTTTGCCCAGGACTAACTGCCACTGCCCATTGCTGCTCTGGTTGCAAGTCTCCTGGGTCCCTTAGAGTTTAGGAGATGCATGCCTGTGGGGGAAAAGAGGGGGAGGGGCAGGAAAAGGCACGGGCATTGCTTCCAGGAGGGAGAGCACACCTGCAGGGCTTATTTTATTTTTTAAATTTTTTATTGTTGAAGTATTACATATGTCCCTCTTTCTCCCCCATT